CTCATCTTTCTCCCACGGAGCGGCTGGTAGTTTCGAACCGCTGACCTTAAGGTTCGCAGTCCGATTCGTAACCACTACGCTACCAGAGCTCCTTAGGTAGTTAACTAGTAAACAAGTTTGTTTCTGAGTCTTTGGTTTCCTTCTCTTTTGCTCGGGATGATAATGGAGTAATCGTTATTTCGAATCAGTTCTGACTCATAGTGACCCTGTATAGGGTTTCCCAGAAGCAGCTGGTGGGTTTGAACTGCTGACCTTGAGGCTAGCAGTTCAGAGCTGATCCTACCACGCCATACTATCTTTCATGGCTCAAAAAATGAATATTACTTATAAATATTGTGCTTCTAAAAAAGAACCACCTATATGAGACCACATGGTCAACAATTACTTTGAAACCCAGATAAGAATGTAAGGAGTTAGGGAAACTAGAGAAATGGAAATGGAACAACCAGAACAGAAATGATGAGAATGTTCACATATTGTGAAGAAAGTAACCGATATCACTGAGTAACCTGTGCAGACATTGCTGAATGGGAACCTTCACCAAAAAAACACACAATAGAATACCAAATAAAAAAAAATAAATGTTGGAGTGCTGTCTTTCAGGACACGGTGACGGGGGAGCCAGGTGCACACAAGACAGTGCAAGGCCCACGCATCAGCTACATGAAGGCCACATGTTCCTGTGAGCAGGAGGGGCACAGAGCAGGAGCGGGGACCTGCCCACACCGCCGGGGCCCCTCACCGGTCGCTCAATGAGCTCGATGCAGGGCTGCAGGTCGAGGCCGAAGTCGATGAAGTTCCACTCGATGCCTTCGCGCTGGTACTCTTCCTGCTCCAGGATGAACATGGTGTGGTTGAAGAGCTGTTGCAGCTTCTCGTTGGTGTAGTTGATGCACAGCTGCTCGAAGGAGTTCACCTGTGTATGAGACACCAGAAGAGGCCAGGTGAGCTCCCTGTACGAGTCAGGGGGACAAGAGCCTGGCATACCATTGCAGGACTAAAGGATGCGCTTGGGCCCCACCAGCATTGGTAGAACTTACCTTTCTTTCATACTCTATTCCAACACCACCTGGTCCTCACACAATTTGTTTAAAGGATGCTTATCTCCTTCCTTTTGCACATCATACCTCGAATATCTTCATGAAATATATTCCCAATGCCTTTGAGTCGATCTGACTCTTAAGAACTCTATAGTATTGCCCACAGGGTCTCCAAGTTTGTGATCTTTATGGAAGCAAATTGCCACATCTTTCTTCTGCAGCACTCTATGGGACTGAACTGCCGACCTTTGGTTAGCAGCCAAGTGCTTAACTCAGGGCTCCTCATGAAGTATGTCATCACTCCCATTTTACAGGATCAGCAAGGGTGGGCCTCTGTAGCAGATAACTTTTGGGTTACGAGTTAATCCCTTTAGTCCCTGAGTGGGATCCAGTCACCATGTGTATGCTGCATGAAGTGTAACTATGTCAATATGTACAAGAGCCTGAAAACAATGCTTGCCTCCGAGATGACCATGTGGCCCAAGACAAGAGAAGTTAATGAGACTCAATTCTAAGATTTTGGTCAAACTTGTTGGAAAATAGATGCACTCATTCCTGTCAGGCAGTCCGGAACTGTGGCAGCCATCTTGCCACAATGAGGCAAGAACTTACCTGAGAATGAGGCCAATGTGGAGGAAGGTGGAGTGAGAAGACAATCAACACCTGTTGAATCCAGCAGTACTTCTGCTCTTCTCTGTTTCCCAAACTAGTAAATTCCCTGACATGTTCTCTTACACTCTTAAGGGTCTAATCTTAACTAGCCAGATTCCAACCCTGTGGAGGCTGCCAGGGGAAATGTCTCAGGGGAAATGTCTCAGAGACCCAACACCTTAACTGCTGTGACCCTGCGGAGTTATATACCTCAAAGATCTCAAATCCAGCGATGTCCAGGATGCCCAGGAACGAGGCCCCTTGCCGGTGAGTCTTGTCCAGAGCTTTGTTCACACGCGTAAGTATCCAGCGGAAGAGACGCTCATAAATGGCCTTGGCCAGGGCTTCTATGGCAAAGTCAGCCTACAGGGGGCGCAGGGAACAGACTTAGTCCATGATCCGCGCTGATGGTTCAGATTTTGATTCTCCCTCTGCCTATACTCAATCTTTAAACAATTAGCAAACAAAAAAGGAAATGACATCATTTCTACCATCTGCAGACAAATGGCAGTAAGCAACAGAGTGTCAGACCCAGTGAGTGAGTATGAACGACTGAGCACTTCCCTGCAGAGGGGTCAGCAATGTGGTCCAGCTCAGGGGTCATTCAGAGCTAGACAGTCTTGTCTCTAGAAAGGGTACGTTGTCATTTCCAAAGGTTAAGTCTCTTAGGTCAGACTTCCAGCAGGTATGAAGAAATCAAGATAAGGATAGGAATGAGGGACTCTGCAGTCCTAACAAGGGGCTTTAAATCTTCTAGGGAGTAGATGAGTTGGGGGATGAAGAGATGAATGAGTGGATGAAGCGATAGATGAATGAGTGAATGAGTGGATAGATGGATGGGTGGGTGGATGGATAGATAGGTAGGTGGATGGATGGGCAAGTGGGTGGCTGGATGGGCATGTGGGTGGATGGATGGATGGATTAATGAATGGGTGGACGTATGCGTAGATGGATGGAAGGATGGGTGGATGGATGGATGGGTGGATAGGTGGACAGATGGACAGAGAATGATGGATGAAGGATTTTGCAGGATTAAATGGAAAGTACATCATTACCTGTTCTTTTGTCTGGGCTTTCTGCACCACGTCCCGTCCAACTTTGATACGTGGGGTCAGGATGGCTCTGGTGAAGTCTGTCACATTGATTCCCATCAGGTGGCAAACTTTCTGAGCAGCTGAATGGGGAAAAGAAGCATCTTGAGTTTCTCACCAAAGAGAAGGCTTGGAAAGGAAGCTCTACCATACGGGTATGTGCCATCTGTGTACACATTGGTTTCTCCTGGAGCAATGGAGCATGGTGGTATCGAATACAGTGTGAAAGAGTCCCCAAAACCGCTGTAATTAGTGAACTCATCCCTGATGTTTTGCTACGAGGCAAGGGTGGGTCTAGCATGAAGAGTAAATCCTAATTGGGCAGCTACACATAGATACTTCTAGGTTCAAATCCTTGATCCCTTCTCACTTCCCAGCCATTTGACTTTGGACAAGTCATCTAACCTCCCAAAGCCTTGTTTTGCTCACCTTTATAAAGGAGAAGCTATCTGGTACCTTGTTGGGTTGTCAGTGGGATTAAATCGGGTGGGGTATGGAAAGTGTCTGATATATAGTAACCACTCAGTAACTCGTTGACCTCTGTTCAGGGATACATGCTGTGGCATTGTTTGCAACAGCAAACTCATCAAGACCCATATAGGGTTTCTCAGTCTGTAAATGGAGAAGACAGTCTCATTTCTCTCCCAGAGCTGCTGGTGGTTTTGAACCGCCAACCTTGCAGTAGCAGCCCAACACTTACAAAGGTACATAATAAAGTACCAATTGTAGATGCTGGGAGGTGTGAGTACAGGAAGGAGGATCAGGTCTGGTTGAGAGACCAAGGGTACATCAAAATACTGACTTGAACTATGCTATTCCATTTTTTAAAAGAACAAAAATTCACCAATGCCATTTCTGGAGAGCAGGCGTGTGTTGTTTTAGTATTGTGTGTACATTTCAGTACTTAAAACTTAAGTCACAAAATGAATCTACCACTAGCTGCTGCTATAACATGAAGACTCATCTGGCATGGTGGTTTCCACAAGTAAAGCTGACAATAGATTTTAGGATTTTACCCCATCTCTACAATGGTGATTTTTGGTTTCTGGTTCCCTGTAAGTCTCTAGAGTGTGGAGTGCTTTAACTTAACACATCTGGGGAGAATAATTCATAGGCAACAATACACAGGTCCAATAGCTTGGAAAAGCAATATAGTGGACAGCCTGGAGCTGGGGGCTGGCCACACAGCAGGTGGACAAGAACCAGGCAGGGTAAGAACCTGTGTTCTTCTTGGCCCAGCCACCAATAAGTAGTTTTTGATGTTGTTAAGTGCCATTGAGTAAGTTCTAACTCACAGCGGCCCTGAATAGGGTTTCCAATAAATGGTCGGTGGGTTTGAAATGCTGACCTTGTGGCCTGCAGTCCAGTGTTGATTCTACAGCACCACACCAGGAGTCCATAAGCATTAACTATCTTTTAAAGATATAATCTTTTTATTTGTGGGTAGAGTTGCCAGATTTAGGTAGGGCCGGGGAAGGAAAGAATACAGAATGCCCAGTATAATTTGAATTTTAGATAAACAACAAATGATTTTCTAGTCTAATTACATCCCCCAAACTGCATGGGACATACTTATAAAATTACATGCTATTTATCTGAAATTCAAAACCAACTGGGGATTCTATATTTTACTGTTATTTGTTGGTAAGTACCATCGAGTCAGTTCTGACTCATAGGGACCCTATATGTAGGGTTTCCAAGGAGTGGGTGGTGGGTTTGAATCACTAACCTCGTGGTTAGCAGTCCAGTGCTGATCTGACCTTGTTTGTAGGTTTCTCTAATCAGGGCCACAATACATGGGCCCTGAGAGCGTGGAAGGACAAAATGGGACAGAACCTCAAATTACTAAAAACAAAAAACACAAAAAGATAACAGCGCTGACTGGACTGACTGAATATGGAGGCATTGCCAAGCCTACCACCCTGAGATACTCTTTAAACCTTGAACTGAAACTAACCCATGGTCACCTTGTGACTAATAAGTTGACTCAAATATCACCCATATATACTGTGGTTGTTGTCATTATTGTTAAGTGCCATCATGTCGGTTCTGACTCATAGCAACCCTGTAAACCTGGTGGGTTTGAACTGCTGACCACGTGGTTCGAGTCCAGTGATCCTACAGTGCCATACCAGAAGTCCACATATACTGTATCCCTTTTTATTTTTTTAAATCACCTATATGAGATCAAATGGTCAACAACAACTTTAAAACAAAGATGAGAATATAAGGGGTGGGGAAACTAGATGAACAGAAATGGTACAACCAGAATGGAAATAATAAGAACATTATTATTTTGTGAAGAATGTAGCCAATGCCAACTAACAACCTGTATAGAAACTGTAGAATAGGAACCTAAACTGCTGTGTAAACCTTCACCCACAATAAAATAGATAAATCAGTTCTTATGACGGCATCTGGCTCTTCTTATCACCTCAGATACCCTCATCTAGAGAAGTGATCAGAGTCTGAGGGTGATAATCTCTCATATCCCGTCATCAGTTGCTGAGAAAAGGCAGACGTACCTGTATTATCTGGCATGGATGCCTGGTCTGTGTTTCTTTCCTTCTTGAAGACAATATTTCCAAGCTGCAGGACAGACGACACCACCTTCAATATGGCTGCGGAGGGAAGAGAAGAGCAGACAAGATCCAGACGTCAATGGCATTGTGCTTCAAAGATCTGGAGTCTGAAGGTCATTGGGAACCTAGTCAGCCATGTCTTTCTCCTCAAGAGATTCAGCTCAGAGCTCCTGGATTTAGGAGAAAGCAAAAGGATCCTAACCCCTTGCTAACAGGGGAGAAAACTTGAGGGGAGGGGGCCTTGATGCTTCCAGACAATTGCTAACAACCTTGTGAACATACCAACTGCTCTGAAAGAGAGAGATCCTATTAGGTGGTCTTGGACAGAGTGGGAACAAATGTGGAACAAAACACAAAATTATGAAAAAGGCCAGGCTTATTGGTCAGAAAGAGACGAGAGGAACAGGAGACTATGGCCCTTGGTCACCCATCAGGTCTGGAATGAAACCTCTACTCGGCTCAAGTTTCAGCCAAGCACTAGACAGGTTTATGTTGTTACTGTTAAGTACTGTCAAATCGGTTCTGACTCATAGCGATCCTGGATAGGGTTTCCAAGGAGCAGCTGGTGGGTTTGAACTGTCAACCTTGTGGTTCACAGTCCGTTGCTTATCCTACAGCGCCATGCCAGACAGGTAGGTCTATGTTATTGTTGCTAAGTGCCGAGTCGGTTCCAATTCAGAACAACCATTTATAGGGTTTCCTAGGAGCAGCTGGTGGGTTTGAACCGTTGATCTTGCAGTTCAAACCGACATTGAGGTCAAGTGCTTATCCTAGGGCGTCACACCAGGACTCCAGATAGGTCTACAGAGGGGACAAAATACTAGTGAGACATGCACACCATGAATGGTTAATCATTGAAGATCAAAAGAGCAACAATTACCTAAGGACAAAATTCAGAAGGGTTGGGAGAGGAGGCAGAATACAAACAAGAATCACAGGGAGGTAAGGCAGGATACATTGAGAAGACTGCAATTAACAAAATGAAACAAGGTATATAATTTGTTGGATCTAAAACTAATGATTTTCATTCAATTCACAATGTTGTTGCTGTTGTTAAGTGCGGCGGAGTCAGTTCCAACTCATAGCAACCATGTACAGGGTTTCCGAGGCTATAAATCTTTAAAGGAGTAGACAGCCTCATCTTTCTCCCACGGAACAGCTGGGAGTTTCAAACTACTGACCCTGAGATTAGCAGCCCAATTTGTAACCACTATGCTATCAGAGCTCCTTTCAATTCACAATAAACAATAAAAAGTAAAAAAAAATAAAAATCTTTGTTCTATCATGGAGCATTATACTGGGATAACAGGACTTGACAGACAATAGCCCACCACCTGCTTTCTCTCTAGTCTCCATCTCTTGCAGTTATCCAGGTAATAAAAACCAATCACACAAAACTGTGTCCCCTATCTGTCCTCTCCCTTTTGCTCCCAGCCCACCTCCGGGATTGTAGGGAAGGGTCTGGGGTGGGAGGCAGGGAGAGGCTAATGCCTGGCTGGGAGAGGGAAAGCCTGAAAAGAAAGAGATATAAATTAAAAGTCCTCCTATCCCCTCCAGCCAGGATTCAGTTCCTTCCACAACTCCCCAGGGAGAAACGAGCATAGCACCTGATATCTCCCCCTTGTGTCTGATGGAACGGCACAGTGGGGCTGCAGGGGTGGGTCCAGGACCACCGAAGAACTGTACTGGGGGTGGGGGGTGGAAGCAGAGAGAAATGTGTGGAGCCCAAACTGGCTGTGTGCATCCAGGAGTGCGCGCAACCCTGGGCACTAGATACGGGTAGGGATGAGAACTCTGAGTTACAAGAGTCCAGCCCCCAATGACAGGAGGCTCCCTGGGGTGGGGATCAAGGGGCTGAGGAGTATTCTCAGGATGAGTCTGGGAGGACTGTTCCAGGAGCCATGGGGTGAAGAGTCCTCCTCACAAACAGATGAGTCCACCGATTCCAAGGACATGGACTGGAAGGAACTGTCCATGGAATGGATGAGTCCACTGACCAATGGGGAGTGGCAACAAAGAGGGGACCTGATGGAGTGCTTCCCACCCTTGTGCAGGCTGAGCCACTGGAAAGGGAGGAGGCAAGTGTTCCATAGACAAGATGACAAGAGGTGGGTCAGAGTGGAGAGTGCACCAAGGCAAGAGAGTCCAAGGGTGGGCTGAGAAGGGGCAGGGAGCACTGTATCCACATTCACTTCAGAAGGTGAAGATTCCAAAAAGATGAACAGGTGAGGAGAAGGGAAACAAGAAAGAGGGCTGGGCCCTGCTCCTGGACTCACTAGATTGATAGGTGTGGGAAGAAAGGTAGGGTAGGTAGGAGGGGAGCTCACAGCCTGGCCTCAGCTACTCCCACAGGTTTCTTCAGATAGTCACCACCACCCCGGCCATCAGTGGAGATTTCAGGGAAGACTGAGCATGGAGTGCTGGACTCTGTCTGCCAGCTCTGGAACGTCATCTGGTGTCAGTCCATCTGTGGGCACTGGGGACAGCACCCCTACCTGACATCACCCTGAGGTGAAACGGCACTCCTTGCAGTAGAAGTCTTGGTAGGAGAACAAGACTATAGGGACAATGGGAACCTGGGCCTAGGCTGCGAGGTGAAAGGTGCCATGCTTAAAGGGCAGCATAGAGCAATTGTGGTTTCTTGTTCCCTCAGGAAAAACCTGGACCGGAACGTCCTTGGTAAGCAGGGTCTGGGCCACCTCAGACATGACACTGACGGCATGTCCTATGCGCTTCCAGTCGATGAAGATGACTCCAGCAGCCAGCAGGCCAGCCCAGAGCAGCTCGCACTTGGCAGTGGGCACACAGCAGCCAGGCAGGACCTCCATCATCCCAAGTAGGTTGAGGGAACTCTGGTGACCGGAAACAATGGATGTAGGGCTGCAAGGGAGGGAAGTGGTGGGCTCCTCGCATCTCCACCTGGATCCCATACAGGTATTTGATGTGGAGCAGCATCAGACGCAAGATCTTCATGTTCTCGATGTTGCATCCTTGCATCGCACACACAGGGATGGCCAGCACAGACAGGAAATGGATCCAGCCATCGCAGAGGGCATCGTGAAGAAGTACTTGGCACTGGGGATGCAGAACCACAGGGTGGGCAGCAGGAAGAACAGCAGTAGTACCGTCCACATCCCTGGCACAGTTCCATTCTGGACACCTCAGAGGGGTGGGGGGGCTGGGGGGCTGGCCCCCTTCACAGCCAGGCTGTGGCAGCAATGGTGACAGTTGGCAGTGTCTCTGCCTTGGTCGGGGTGTTGGTGCCAAGGGGCAGACAGGACTAGGGGGTATCCTAGCCCTTGGCCGATGGAGGAGACATGGAGTGGGAGGCTGGGCCCATAGCAGTAGGAATGATGAGGGGTTGTCCCCCAGTTCCCACCCTCCCTGGCTTCCTGCTGTCTCTCTGAGGGCTGGGCCCACCACCTGCTTTTGTAAATAAAGTTTTATTTAAACAGAAACACTCACCCACTGACATACTTTCTAGGGCTGTGTGTGTGCTCCAAGAGCAGAAACTGAAATATACTGCTCCAGTATATTCAAGAGAGATCCCATGGCCCACTGAGGCGAAAATATGTACCATCTGTCCCTTCTGAAAACGTTTGTCAACCGCTGCTACACAGGAATGAGAGGAAAGATCTACAGCGATAAGCAACCAAACCTTTGTACCTCACAAACATGAATGCCGAACGTCGAAGCCAGATGAAAGCAAGAACACAGCATACAGTCCGTTAATATAACATCCAAGAATAGGTAAAACTGCTCTGCGCTCTCAGGAGTCAGGCGACTTGTCGGCCTTGATTGGGGGGAGTGCCTGGAAGGGTACCAGGGAGCTCCTGGTGGCTGGAATGTCCTTGTACTTACAGAGGTGCTAGCCACACAGGGGGATTCAGTGTGCAAAAACATGCCGTATACTTACGACATTTGGACTTTTCTAAAGGTAAACTAAATGCAAACAATAGTATTTAAAAAAAAAATCTCGGTTCTTCTCAATATGTATGCTCTGGCTGGGTGTTCATGTTGGGAAGAAGGAGAGAGACAATTTTCTCGTCTTTTGTCCAAGTGTCTCCAGGCAAATCATCCCAAAGCCCTTGAAACTCTATGACCCTTGACTGTGTCTGATATCTCCGCGGGTCCCCAAGTTTCTGGGCAGTGTGAGGTCTGTCCTCCTTACCATTGCCCTACTCTGAGTGGATGAATGACTTCAAGCGTCCTAGTCACATCAGGCTCCTGGTAACGCCATGCCTGCCAGAGTAAAACTGCACCCCACAGGTGTTAAGAGTTGAATTGTGTGTCATCTCCCCACCCCCAAATGTGTGCCAACTTGGCTGGGCCACGGTTCTCAGTGTTATGGAATGACCTTCCATTTAGTGATCTGATGTCATTATCCTGTGTGCAGTCAACCCCACCACTGATGTAAGCAAGGCAGGATACAGCCCACAGGATTAGGCTGCATTATGACTCAGTCTCTTCTGAGATAATTGTTCTTGTTGTTAAGTGCCATCGAGTCAGTACCAACTCATAGTGACCCTATGCACAACAGAATGAAACACTGCCCGGTCCTGGGCCAACCTCACAATTGTTGCCGTGCTTGAGCCCATTGATGCTGCCACTTTGCCACTCCATCTTGCTGGGGGTCTTCCTCTTTTTCTCTGACCGTGATATTCCTCTCAAACATGATATCCTTCTCCAGCAACTGGTCCCTCCTGACAATACGTCTGAAGTATGAGAGAAGTTTGGCCATCCTGGCCTCCAAGGAGCACTCTGGCTGCACTTCTTCCAACACAGATCTATTGGTTCTTTTGGTAGCCCATGATACTTTCAATATTTTCCTCCGACACCATAATCAAAAGCATCAATTCTTCTACGGTTTTCCTTATTCACTGTCCAGCTTTCACATGCATATGAGGCTATTGAAAAGACCATGGCTTGGGTCAGGCACACCTTAGGCCTCAAGCTGACATCTTTGCTCTTCAACACTTTAAAAAGGTCTCGTGCAGCTGATTTGCCTAATGCAATACGTCGTTTGATTTCTTGGCTGCTGCTTCCACGAGTGTTGATGGTTGATCTAAGAAAAATGAAGTCCTTGATAACTTCAATCTTTTCTCCACTGATAAGAATGCTGTTTATTGGTCCAGTGGTGAGGATTTTTGTTTTCTTTACATTGAGATATAAAAGGGATTCAATAAATGAGCAGAGCACCGAGGGACTTACTACCCCCAAGAAAGGAAAACCAGGAGCAAAGTGCACCCTTTGGATCCAAGGTCCCTTCACTGGGAGCCTCTGAGAACCAGGAGACACACACAGACACAGAGAAAGTCTTCCCTGAGAGCTGGATTTGGACTTGTAGCCTCCTCAACTGTGAGGGAATACAATTCCGTTTGTTAAAGTCGCCCCCTTGTGGCCTTTCTGTTATAGCACTTGTCGCCTCCTCAACTGTGAGGGAATACAATTCTGTTTATTAAAGTCGCCCCCTTGTGGCCTTTCTGTTATAGCACTTGTAGCCTCCTCAACTGTGAGGGAATATAATTCTGTTTGTTAAAGTCACCCCCTTGTGGCCTTTCTGTTATAGCAGCACTAGATAACTAAGACTTTTCAATTGTTTTGTTTTTGAAAGTAGATTGCCAGGCCTTTCTTCTGAGGTACTCTGGGTGGACCTGAACCTCCAACCTTTCCACAGCCAAGCACACTAACCACAAAGATTTCAGCCCACTTGGAGATGGCTCAGATGAAAAGTCTGGCAAGGGATTCCTAAAAAGCAGGCACTGAAAACCCTACAGAGCTCAGTTCTACCCTTTATACAAGGGGTTGCCATCTCAAAATCCATACAAACATCCACCTCACTGGAGTGTTGTGTGTGGACACAATTACATAATTGCCCGTCCTTGGTTCTGGCACATAGCTGGTACTTAATAAACATTGTTGTTGTATCTATTCTGACTCACAACAACCCTCTAGGACAGTATAGACAGCCTATAGGACCTTCCCAGGCTGGCATCTTTACGGAAGCAGACTGCCACACCTCCCTCCGGCAGAGCAGTTAGTGCGTTTGAACTGCCAACCTTCTGCTTGGCAGCCGAGCACTTAACAGTTATACCACCAGGGATCTTTCAATAAACCTTAGCTACTATTTCAACATATGGAGCGCTGGTAGCGCAGTGGTTACAAATCGGGCTGCGAACCACAAGATCAGCAGTTCGAAACTACCAGCTGCTCCATGGGAGAAAGATGAGGCTTTCTGCTCCTGTAAAGATTTACAGTCTCAGAAACCCTGTGCGGGGTCGCTGTGAGACGGAACCGACTCCACGGTTCTTAACAACAACAACTACTGATCATCATTTTAGTGTGATTCAGTTTTTCACTTCTTAAATGAAACAGCATGGAACAGCCAAGTAGAATAATAATAAGGATAATAATAAAGGTTTAGCAGCTGCCAGGCACAGTGGTGGCTGAGTGCAGAACTCTCCCTCTCCAGTGGGAGAACCAGGTTCGATCCACAGTCAGTAACACACAGGCCCAGGCAGACCCTCCACCCCTCTGTCAGTGGTGGTTTGCATCGTGCTCTGATGCTGAACAAATTTCAATGGAGCTTCCCAATTGACATGGACTAGGAAGGTAGGCCTGGCACCTATTTGTGAAAATCAGTCTGTGAAAACCTCTGATCCTGGTGCGCATGGGTTCACTGTGGGTCAGGGGCACAGCAGCTAACAACAAACCACAAAAAGGAGCTCCAGTAGTGTAGTGGGTACGAGTCAGGCTGCTAATCTCAAGGTCAGCAGTTCAAAACTACCAGCCATTCCATGGGAGAAAGATGAGGCTTTCTGCTCCTGTAAAGATTTACAACCTCAGAAACACTACGCCAGGTTGCTGAGTTGAAACCAATTCCACAGCACACAACCAACAACAACAACAACAAACCACAAACAGCACATATCAAGTACTTACTCTTCTTTGTCGTTTTTTAAAGTAAAGATTAGAAGCAAATGACCCAGGTCCCAAACCAGAGGAATCACTTCTGGAGAGCCCATGTCATTCTGCAGCACTGGATTCTGAAGCGGGACCCTGGCCAAAACCTACGAGTGCCATCCATTTGTCAACTGCCCACCGAGCCCTCTATCTCTGGTCCCCGAGGTATCTTGGGAAGTGCTGACCTTCTTGCTATTCTGGGCCCCCGATTGGGGAACAGGCATGGGAAGAAAGAAAATTTTCCACAATCCCATTCCAGTGTTGCCCAAAGCAATGAACTTTAACCAAGGCACATCTAAGCCGGAAGTAGCTGTGTTTCTTGAAGCACAGGGTCAAGGCAACATTTTTTGTGACTATCTGCTCTCAGGACCAAATGCTTTCCTTGGTCATTAACCGATGATATTGGTCACTACTAGAGCTGCCTGTCTGGGAACACTTCAAGTAAACTCGCTGCCTCCATCACTTGCCTCTGCCTGCATCTTCCTAATGAGGCCAACATCTCTACTTTTAGCCTGAAAAATAAATGGAACCAAATCTACCTAGGGAGTCCTGGTATGGTGCTGTGGGCTAATGCACCAGACTGCAAATTCATTTGAACTGCAAGGTCGACGGTTCAAGCTCACCAGCTGCTCCTCGGAAATCCTATACAGGGTCGCTATGGGTCGGAACCAACTCGTTGGCACTTAACAATAACAACAATCTACCTAGAGAATTTTCACTCCCCTGTCTACAGTGAGCCTCTCAGGAATGTGCACACCAACCAAGGCTGGCCAATGAGAATCAATGAGACTCCAGTAAGGAACTCAATCAGGGACTCCTCTCTGCTCTTTTCTGCTGGACTGAAATGCCAGGATGCAAGGGCTGGAGCCACAGCAGCTACTTTGCTGTCAAGAAATTGTAGCTTACCTAAAGACAATGTTGCAGAGAGATGGAGAGAGAGAAACCAGACTCAGAAAACATCTTCTGAGTGCTTAAATCCTGCTGTGCCTGAAACCAGAACCCCTGAACTTTTCAGTGCTATGAATGAATCATTTCCATTTTCGCTCAGGTCAATTTAAGTAACTTAAAACGGAAAGAGCCCTAGCTGATACAGCCAGTGTTCTAAAACAACACCAAGAGTAATATTCTTTTTTGTTTTGTTGTGAGGCGGTGGGGAACTCAGAAGGCAGAAACCTGTCTTGACTAGAGAAAAGTCCCTGATTTCAGTGGTCCTTCACAGCATGAATCTACGTCTCCTCGCCAGCCCCCAGATTCAAGGAGGCATGAGTGGCTTACACAGCTGCTCTTCCTCGTTGAAACCCATGATTCCCATGGCCTCCAAGGTTTCCAAGAACATCTCATCGTCCTGGGCGGCCGGGATGGGCACGTAGCCGTTGGAGAGGAATGTGTAGTTGCTGAAACCCTCCAAAAGCAAGTCATCTAGAAGGAAGGAAAGAAGGGACAGTGGTCAGGGGACATGCGTCCACGTAATGACATAATACAGGAAGCTGGTGGGGGGGTGGTCTGGTGATTGGAAGATTTTCCCCTTTTCCCAGAAGGCCCAGGTGGTTTCAAATCCTCCTCTGGCATCACGACGTGCATGCCTCTCACGCAGCCTGCTACACATGGGTGCAGGCTGTGCACTGACCAGGACACCTGGCCGCCCAATTCCAGTCTTGACTTTGCTTGCTAAGCCCCGAGACTGTCCTTTACCTGGAGCCCCTCTACCTGGAGAAGGGGAACCTTTACCTCAATTACCCAAAGGCACCCTGCCATCAAGATCAAAGCCATCCGAAGGGTTAACTTAATCTTTATCCATTTATTAAATTCTTATCAAAATCATTCATACAACAAGGTTTTTAAAAAATCAATTACTGTAATTGTAATCACTGCAATGAAACAAAATACGGTAGGATGAGTATGAAGCTGATGTTCTCCCATGTAAGTTATCACTCAATTCACAATAAAAACTTCATCAATTACTGCTAGTCCCATTCGGGTTATGACAAACTGCATACAACCATCTATTTTGGGGTTTCTTTTGGATACGTCTTTACATTAATAATATGCACTGCAGACAATGTTGCAGTATGTACTTTGCTGATGTTATCTTACCTGAGAGTTTATATGCACTGTTCCAACTCTCAAAGACAAAAATCTTTTATGAGGAAGATCTTCTCAAAAGGGGGCTTTTATGAGGAAAACAACCCCATGATCTTTCTCATTCTATTTTACCATGAACTTTTTGATGCCCCCTAGTAAAGATACTGATAACAAAAAGCAATAATAATGAAAATAAAGATATTTCAACTTCTATTACAATGAACTATGACAAAGTCATTGGAATCGAACCCCATCATAAGTCAGGGACTAATTACTACCAAAAGTTTATAACGAAGAACTTCACTTCTCTGCCCTGCTTCTTTCCAACTCCTAACTACTCTATAAAAACTGCTCTTTATCTCTTTCCGTTGTTTCTCTTTTAATAGATATATCTTGCTATTTCTGGATATGCAATATTTAGATATTATCTACTGACTTTATGCAAGAGTGGAATATTTCATTCTTGAATACTTCCTGTCATCTCCTCCAATGATTTTAATTGACTAAATGCACAGGGATTGGCAAATGTGGCCTGCCAGCTGTTTAATAACTGAAGTTTTATTAGAACTCGACAACTTCCATTTCTTTATCTATTGTCTAGGTTGCTGCCACAGAGACCATATGGTCCACAATGTCTGAAAGATTTACTACCTGGCTCTTTACAATAAAATGCTTTCCAACATCCCTGTCATATGATGACATCTATCAAATATCCTTCTCTGTAAACTCACGTTTTAGAATTGTATTTCCTTTGTTGCTGCTGCTGCTGTAATTCAATCCCTTTTAACTACCCACAAAGTTTAACATCACTTTTCTTTCTTCTTGCACTACGTCAAGCATCTTCTCCCAGACAGATTTTTCATAGGCTAGATTTGACTGGACTTTTGGAGGCGGGTCAACGAAATGTGTTTGTTTTTAAGCAAAAGTCTTTTATGGGTCAAATCACTTGGAAGTGACTTAACAAACATGAGGTTAAATTGACCCACGACACCAGTTAGCACAAACCTTTGGATTAAGTAAAGGGACTGATTAAAGTATTAAGGATTTGGGTCTTTACCAAGACTTCATTATTCAACAAAAGGATACATTTACAAAAGTTCATTTCTTCTTAAAAGCCTACCTTTCCCCAAACCCATTATCAATAATCCAAGGGTCCATAGGATTTTCAGTTGCATGTCTAATCTTTGCCTAATTTCTTCAAAAGTAAGATGAGCACACAATGGAAGGCCCGATACAGAGAACCAAGCAATAAAATCCATTCAACTTCTCTTCCCACCGTTGGTCATGTCCTCCAGATGACTAAATGGGCAATGTCGCTCTCTAGTGGCAGAGCTCTGCAATTACCTCATCACTGCAAAGGTGTGAGTTTAATTTTCGGTAATTTTCTTATCCAACATCAATCACTAACTCTGGGCCACAAAACTGATGGGAAGTAAAATTAGGATTCTTCTCATAAAACTTTAGCCCTAACATATTACTAGAATGGCCTTACTATATTCACTTCTTCTTCTTCTTTTTTTTTTTGACATGTTCCTTCTTACGGTTTCCTACTGGAATCTTGTTTACAGTATATTACTTTTGCAAAGCAAGCTCTTCTGGAACACAGTGATAATCATTCAAGATCAGTGGTTCAAACTTACCGGTGGCTCCTTGGAAACCCTATAAAGGGTTGCTATGAGTTGGAACCTTAGCAACAACAACACGTGTATTACTTAGAGAACTCGTCTGCAGTCATCTACTGACCACAGAGACATTTGCTTGCTCTAAACTACTGGTACCTTAAGGAGCCCTGGCAGAATAGTGGGTTACGAGCTGGGCTGCCAGTTCAAATCTACCACCTCCCCTCAAGAGATGCATGAGGCTTTCTGCTCCCGTAACCATTTACAGCCTCAGAAACCCCGCACGGGGTCACTGTGACTTGGAACCAAATTGATGACACATAACCACCATTACTGGTTTTCAAGAGTCCTGGTGTGGTACTGTGGGTTAATGCGCCAGACTGCAAAGTCGTTTAAACTGCAAGGTCAGTGGCTCAAGCTCACCAGCTGCTCTATAAAACCCTATACAGGGTCGCTATGGGTTGGAATCAACTCGATGGCACTTAACAACAACTGGTTCTCTAGTAGCGGTACTTTTGGACTTATCCTCATATTTGCAAAGTTTATAAACTGGCAAATACGGGGCTTGTCTTTCTTTCTCCCTGGAAGGTGAAGCCTGTGTCTAATTAGATGTGTCTTCTAGGAGAGCCTGTCACATAATAGGTACTCAGTAAATCAAATTGCCTGAACAAAAGCCACGTTTAACTCACCGGGAGATGAGGAATGGACCTTCCACCACCCAAAGATGCCGTTCTTCGGTGCACAGGATCTGTGTTTTCACAACTTGTCTCTTAACCCTTAATCGTGATGAGAGGGAAGCCTGCCAGTCACCCACCATGGCCACCCACTTACTCTTCATCTTTTCCTTGGCACCAGCGATCATGTAGTAAAAGATGTGGAACGTCCGCTCATCTCTGGCTTGGCGAATCGCCCGGGACTTTTCTAGCAGGTCTGGTGGGAGGAGTGAAGGATTCTGGGAGAGGTTCAGTGGTCACATTCTCTCCTCCAGACAGGAGACCCACCATCGAGTCCCAGACAAAGGACCTCCTGTACAGCCACCCCCACCTGTCAGTGGAGGCTTCTGTGTTGCTCTGATGTTGAACAGAGCAACGCACAAGAAAGGACTGGCCATCTGAATTCTAAAACATCAGCCACATTCTAAAAAAATTCTAAAAGACCTATGGATCACAACTGTCCACTCTATAACTGAACAAATGGATGGGGTGGGACCATCAGCTATTTGTTCCTTTGTGCGTGGACCACCATGAGCCAGGGGCTCACAACAACAACAACATCTTAGATTCTGAGGCTGCCAATGGCATTGCTCACACGGAACCAAACCTTCTTCCCCAATGCCTGCTACACCAGCTGGGGAGAGGAACTCCCCAGGGCCCAGGAGAGACTCCAAGACTCCTTGGAGAATTGTGCTGAGCCTCAGGATGGGGTTGGAGACAAGTCATCCACACCCAGCTCCCAGAGATGAACCTCCCAGTCCTGGCCCAGAAAGCTAGATGTTCTTCACTCTGACCACCACCGCTGTGGCAAACGAGACCACTCGGGGAAGAAGGCAGACTCCTTGTTGGAGAGAAATGAGGGGAGCAGAGAAAAAGGAAAGCATAAAAAAAAAGAGGAGTGAAAAACCCCTGGAGACCCCTGGGTGGTGGCAGATGGCTAACCAAAGGGTTTGCATCAACTCAGAGCTGTCTTGAATGAAAGGCCTGGCCATCAATCAGCCATTGAGAACCCATGGAGCGCAGTTCTGCTCTGACACACAGAAGATTCACCATGATTCCAGTCAACCCAAAGGTGACTAGCAAGGCTAAGATAAGGGTGTAAAAGACCCGAGGATGAAGGACTGTGGTGGGGCATGGTGATGACATGTCCCCTTCAGCCATCACCAACTCTTTGTTGAGAATGAGCTGACCTTGGACATCGTCTACCACTGACCAGTCCCTGTGTTAAATGCACTCATTAAAGCCTCACACGCTAATCTAGCAAGGGCAACTGTTATTCCCATTTCTCGTATTGGGAAAGGGGAGTCTGAACACAAGGGTTTCTGACTTTAAAGGATCTCTGCATAGTAATTATATATCCAACAAAATTGCCATGGATGTGTTTGAGCAAGAAAGTACATTTTAGATCTGCAAAAGCTCAGAGTATTCCACTGATGTGCTTTTCCTGGGGGAGCAGAGAAATGTCTTGAATACACACCCTGACAAGGCAATCATCGCAAACAAAAATATTGGAGAAGTGCCTGGGGTACTAAAAGCTTGTGAGCAATTACCTAAGATACAATTATTGCTCCCTACTCATCTGGAGCAAAAAAGAAAGAAGGAAACCAATGACTCAAAGAAGGAACTCATCTACAGGACAAGATGACTGCTGTCATCTTGTCACAGACAGGACTGCTGTCCTGAGACCAGAAGACTTCGGTGGTTTCTGGCTACCATCGCTAATCATTCTAATCAAGGGCCACAATACATGGACCCTGAGAGAATGGAAGAAAAGGTGGAAAGGAACCTCAAATTCCTAAGACAAAACAAAACTGACCTACTAGGCCGGTTGAGACTGGAAGACACCTTGGGACGATTGCTCTGAGATCCTCTTCAAACCTTAAACCAAAACTAAGCCCCTGGAGCTCACCTTGTAAAAAAAAAATAATAATGAACTTAAGAAGAAGAAACTGGACTGCAAACATGGAACCCAGGGAGGAACTGACATAGTGATTAAACTTAGGTGAAGGAACGACTATGAAGACCCCCCTCACAAGGGTGCTAAGGAAGGTTTGCCCTGACAGGGAGGGAGAGTATGGAAGGTCAGGGAGGGCAGGTCACCGGCTGGGCTGCTGCACCAGGGGGCTTCCTCATAGTCAAGTGAGAAGTTGCAAGGTGGTCAGGCAGTGCTTCCTGGGCCCAGCTGGCTTGGCAGGTGTTGCCTCAGCTAAGTCCTAATACTGGCCAGCTCTGCCGTAGCAGTCCTAGCGGATATGCAACCTCGAAACAGAGGCATCCACGCTCCCTGGTTGTTGTTGCCATCAAGTCGGTTCCGACCCATGGGAACCCCATGTGTTACAGAACAGAACCGGCCCACAAGGTTTTCAGGGCTATGACCTCTTGGGAGCAGGCTAGGAGACCTTTCTTACACGCTACCACCAGGCAGGTGTGACCCACTCAGGTGAGCAGCGAAGTGCAAACTGTTGGTGCTGCCTGGTGTCGTTGGGTTGGTTCTGACTCACAGTGACCTTTTATAGGGTTTCTGAAGAATGGCTGGTGAGCTTGCACCGCCAGCCTTGCAGTTCAAACTGAATTTGCAGTCCAGCGCATTATCCTACAGCGCCACAGCAGGACTCCGTACCACCTAGTGGCCGGCATGACCTGGAAGGCTTTTTGAAACCCAAGTGCTGCACCCACTTCTAGGAAACCCTAGGGGCAACGAGGTTAGGTGCTCGGCTGCTAACTGAATGATTGGCAGTTCAAACCCAGCAGCCCCTCTGCGGCAGAAAGGTGTGGCAATCTGCTTCTGTAAAGATGAGAGTCGCCGTGGAAACCCCATAGGCAGTTAGCTATATGCTGTCTATTGGATCAGATGCTGTGAGTTAGAATCAACTCCACCAGAGTGTTTATGGGGGCTCCTGCCTCTCAATTGTTGGATATTTACAATACTGCTAGTCCTGGGGACACTGTTCCAAAGAGAAGCTGGGTGGGAGAGACCAGGCTTGGCCTGAGGCTTATAAACACAGGAAATAACTAGCTGAGAAGTGTGCAGGGGCCAGAGGGCCCCAACTGTGAGCTTGGCTGAGGCCTGCAGCCCTTCCAACTATGGACTAGGAGTCATTGCTGGGTGGACCTAAGGCTGACCTTTAGGACAGTAAGGATCTTGGTTAGCCATAGATTGGCTGAAAAAGGTCTATGGGGCTCATCGATGACCTGGGGCCTGCTTCCCACAAAACAAACAGGAAGTGGTTCCTAAAGCCTAAAGTCTCAGAATTCTTAAAGACACAGGCCAACCACCTATCTGTCCCCATGAGACTGTGGGTTCAAGACAGAAGCTTCCGGAGCAGGGGTCCGCATTTCCTGAGATTCTGTGCCGAGGGTAGTGATGCTCAAACAGTGGGCCCGCGGCAAAGTTACACTCATGCAAGTGGTAAGCATTTCACAACTTCTCTTCCTGGGGACTAGAGGAGTTTCAGCAATTTCCAGATTGTTGACATACTCAACCCACCAGCCAGACTCCTGGTGTGGCACTGTAGCATAAGCACTAGACTGCAAACCACAAGGTCAGCAGTTCAAACCCATCAGCTGCTCCTCGGAAACCCTACACAAGGTTGCTATGAGTCGGAACCGACTCAACGGCAATTAACAGTATGATGAATATAAAGAGACCTGGTGGCATAGTGGGTTATGGGCTGGTAACTGTAAGGTCAACTGTTCAAATCCACCAGTCGCTTCACAAGAAAAAGATGAGGCTTTCTGCTCCTGTAAATATATACAATCTCGGAAGCCCTATACAGAGCCACTATGGATCAGAACCGACTCTATAGCACACAATAACACAGTGGCACAAAAATTAGCCTTGGTGGCCAGTGGTTAAGTGTTTTGAACCCACTCTCTGCCCCGGGGGAGGAAGATGAGGCAGTCTGCTTCTGTGAAGATGTACAGCCCTGGGAGTCCTGCCAGACAGTTCCACTGTGTCACTTAGATCACTGAGTCAGAATCGCCTCGATGAGAGTGGGTTTGGGGCCTAATGACGAACATCATAAAGAGCCCACAGTGGGTCTGGGCAACCCATGAATGTTCCCACAGCAAATCATAGAAATATTTTCCTAATCCACTGCCACAAAGCTGATTCCAACTCCCAGAGACCCTACCTGCATAGGGTTTCCCAGGCTGTAAATGTTTACAGGAGCAGAAAGCCTCATTGTTCTCCTGAGGAGCAGCTGGTGGATTGGAACCACCGACCTTGTGATTCATAGTCCAAGGCCACTTGTTTCTGTTGTTGTTTAAGTGCACCCTAAGAAGAAAGGTGTGACAATTAACTTTCAAAAACCCAGCCACTGAAAATCCAATGGATCATAGTTCTGCTCTGACCCAAAGTGGGGTCTCCATGAGTTGGAACTAATTAAGTGTTAATACTTAAACAATCCTTATTCTGTCCCTGGTACAACAATTTTAAGAGCCTTATATGAACTCATTCAAGTTATCCTGACAAGAACTCCATGAGGCACTATAATCATTTCCATATTGCCACAAAAACACAGAGAGGTTGAGTAACTGACCTAAGACCACTCAGCAAGAAAGGTCAATGCAGTATCAAACCCAAGCTGTTCAAGCAGGGAGTTCACATTTGTGTAAACGCTACCCTACAATGCCTGCTGGGAAGGGAAGACAGGCTCAGTGAAGATTGTTCTAGAAGGATCCCAAGAACCAGAGGGAGAGAGGCAGCTTCTGAGCCAGTTGCCTTTTCTCTCTTGGGCACCGTCCACCTCAGGCCAGGAGGTCAGGGTAGGAGGTCCTATGTAGCCCAGGTGGGATCAAAGGATACAGGTCTCAATGTTGGCTCCCACGATGTAACCGGTGACGTCAAAGTTGATGCGGATGAATTTGCCCTGCAATAGGAACACAGGTCACTGTCTGCTGTCCAATCTCAGCTCCCGCCACCCACCTACCCTCAACCCCACCCTGCAAGCCAGAGGGGAGGGAGACACCAGGGGGCATGCAGGGGAAAAAATTTAACCGGAGGTCTGGCCAATATTCGGAACCTTATGAGGTCTGTGTGTCAGAAAAAAACAACTAACTACTGGGCTGGGCTGAACTGAGAGCAACTTATAAACGTGCTCACAGACACAACGTCATTCTCCACCATGGCTGTCCAATTTCAAAGGTGGGAACACTGAGGCTGAACGGGGTAGAGTGGCTTGCCCAAGGTGACATCCTTCTGAAGAGGTGGAACCAGAGTAAAGGGGCATTTCTTGACACATCACGTGAGTGGATGGCTCCCTCCTTCCCCTACCCCATTCATCTAGTTGCTAGCCCCTCCCCCAGCAGGCCCAACCAGGCTGTGATTCTTGGGTTTGGAGGCCAACCAAGCATTGGTTACCATTTTAGAACCCCCTGTCCCAGTGGCCAGGCCCCTTGTATCAGTCTATGTTTGGAGTCATTGTGCCTTCTGGTGTGGTCTGGCCTATGCACTATCACGATGAATCTGATGCCTTCTTCTTTTTACATTTGGGGCATTATGTGTATGTCTGCATATTGCAGTTGTCAAGTTGGCTCCAACTCTGTAGGAATGACAGACACAAGGCTGTGTGGTCCTGCATCAACTCCACTACCTTGGGTTTGGCTGAGGTCCAGCTCACTGAGCTCTCCTCTCATGTCCTCTGACCCTCTCCTTTCCCAAACATGACATCTGGTCTTTCCTCATGATGGGTCCAAAGTCGGCATGATGACGTCTCATCACCACATTCGGACAGACCGACAGACGGTAGCATTGCCTTATGAATGCACTAACCCTTTAATTTCAGGAAATGGGAGGGAACACTATGCATGTTTTATAAAAAGCTGACTGTGAATATGTAGGACTCTGGGCTCTTCTGAAGGGCAGTGCTAAGTGAGTGGGGCAGGGGTCTCCACAAGCAGATTTTCATGAGACCCCCACCCCAGTGAGTGACAGTTCAGAGGGACACCCACAGGTTGTGGGGGGGGGCCCTCTCTGCTGCCACATGGCCAGTGTTGTCTTAGAAATGTCATCCTGACCCTTCTGGGGAGCCCACCACTTCTTCTGTACCATGAAATCATTTTTGTTTACAAGTCACCCATTTTGGGGACATTGGCTCAGGGCAGAGAGGTGTGCATGAGCAAGTGACCACCTCGTTGACTGTCTGGCTCCCCAGCCAACCAGGAGCCACATCGGAATTGTTTGCTACCATCCTCTATGCTTACTTATGCATCTTGCACACAGTGGTGCTTATACAAATTAGCTGAGCTAAGGAAAACGAAAGAAAAGAAGATGATGTATGTAAGAATGCCTACCAGAAGGAACGTAAACAGTAGGTGCTTAATAGTTGTCGAAGGACGTATATCCCTGGCATATGGAGAGTGCTCTGTTGGTATTTTTCTGAATAAATGAGTGCACACTAGATGCAAGTGTCTAGCAGATACTAACAGTTACCACTAAGTCAATTCCAACTCATGCATATTGGAGTAGAACTGTGCTCTATAGGATTTCCAAGGCTATCATTGTTTGGAAGTAAGTTCCCCAGCCTATTTTCCAAGCCACTGCTGGGTGGTTCAGAATTGCCAACTCTTGCAAACTGTTGGCACCATACAGAGAGTACTCTAGCACACATTAGGGGCTTGACAAACACCTAGTGAATGAATTATGAATGTCAAATGAATGAATTATGAATGTCAAATGCAGGATGTCCCATGCACAACAGATGCTCGGTGAATATCTGTGGAGTGGGTAGTGATTGAATGAATGAATGGGCAAATGAGTGGCAGATGCCACTGCAGGACCGTAAGGTCAAGACAAGACTGGAGACACAGTGAAAGGCCACGGTGACACACATCTACAGCTCTAGCCCCTCACACACACAATCGCCACATTCTCAGACAGGAGACAATACAGTGGGAACGAGCCTTTACTTACAAATCGTGATGAGTTGTCATTCTTGACCGTTTTAGCGTTGCCAAAAGCTTCCAGAATTGGGTTTGCTTGTAGAAGCTGCTTTTCCAGCTCACCCTAAAATTCATTCACATCTAGTTATTGGAAAAGGCAACCCAGGGCTTGCTGGTTCTGCCCTAGACAGACTTTGTCACAAGATTGCCCTTAACCCTCAGTCTCTCTCCCATCCTACCTCCTACCCCTTTTGAGACCCTGATGTTAATGCTAGTGTCCCAGCTATTTGAGGATTTCAGAAGAGTAACTGGCTGTTTCTGGTGAGAGATCAAGTTTAACAAGCAGCCTTCTTCAAGCTCAACTACTATCCCTCTCCTGGTAAGTTTGTGCCTTTTTTTAAAAAAAAAGATGCAACTTGTCCTTTTTGGGGAGTGGATTTCTGATGTCTCCTATGATGATTAAGTAAGGAACGTGCAAAACCCATGGGAACTCCTTTCCAAGGACTGCAGAACAAAGCTTCAAAGCAGGTTGCCTGAGCTCCATCAGGTTAGATGCAGCGGACTACACACAGCCCACGGACGCCTCTGTGGGGCGCCTGTGCACAAGTGTGGTCACGTGATTAATCATGGCAGACAGGGAAAGGGCCAAGACAGTTAAGTCATGCTGAAAAAGCAAATGCGCTGTTCCTTTCTAACCCCAAGACACGGGGCTGTAGGCTGGCCCAGAGGCCCCTTTGTCCAGATTCATCTGGGCTGTGCCAGGCTCTGTGACCACCCTTGTTCTCTCTGCCTGTCCTTTCCTGTCTTCCAAGGAGTAACAGGAGCAGGGGAGGGGTCTAGAGGGAGGGCACATTGTTCTCCTTGCCCCTCGACACACACCAGAGGAGGGTATCATGGGTTGTTCACCTTAATGGGGCAAAACAGGAAGCTACTATTGATTCATATTTTCAGATCGACATTTGCTTTCTCTTTTCCTGCTCTCAGAAAAAGATACAGCAAAAACAGTATCAGCTCATGGAAATCCCAGCCATGGCTGGAATCCCCCGTAATAAGGACTTGTAAACATTTATGATGAACGCTGCGGGATTTTCTTGGCTAGTTGTAGGAATAAAGGAATCACTTCCAACACGAACGTGGGGCCCAGATGTCCCTCCACAGAGTGGCCCTGGCCCCTCTTCTAAAATGGAAATTCCAGCTGGTGGGGTCAAAAGATCCTCCTCAAGAGAACTTTAAACATGGAACTAATACATCAGTTCTCTGTGGCCCAGAGAAGTTAGATGACTCATCCAGGACCACACAGAGGCAGACCCCAAATATGGGGGGTCTGATTCACAACACTGTTGCCCAGGATCTAAGATGGATCGAGTGTGGTCCTTCTGGAGCTATGGGAGACCCCAGAGGGTCCCTCTTCGAGGTCTGGGACCCTATACCAGCTCTTCAAGCTCTGTGTTGGAGACTTATCAGGACCTGGTTGTGTGTCTTGTAGCTGGGGCCTTACCGCGCCACCAAAGCTGTGTATTTCTGGAGCCTTCAGTCAAGCAACTGGCATGCAGAAGATGGACACACTGCACACACATGCACAAGGACACACTGGTGCGCTGGGGACAGGGCTGGGGCAGAACTTGGAGAGGGATGGCAGGGAGGAACAAGGGGAGCATGCCACAGTCGTGCCGCTGACCGACTGTCAATCAAGCTAGGGAAGCATTGGGACCCACAGTCCTAAAACGTTCAACCAGATGGGCAGACATCTCTAGGTCATTGCAGTTGGTGGACACTTTGGTGAGAAGGGTGCAGGGACTCACTCTGAACTGGGGAAATCTACTCATCGGGCTGGCAGCCAACCCTTGGGATACCAACGGCAGTCCCGAAGGTGGTCAATACACCTGTCCCCCACCGGGAAGTAGTTTGGTGGGTTTGTTGATTGGGCTTGTGAGACTCCGGGATCAGCCCCGTTCTACCGTCAACTACGGTACTCAGTGGGTGCGATGGGATCATGCAGACCTAACCACACTCCATGCCTCCCACACACCAAGAAAACACCCTCAGTTACTCACGTAGGCAAAAGATGGGCCTTGCTGTAGTTGAACAATACAGTACAAAACAAACATCGGTGTTATTTTAATCACATATATTAGGGTCTGGGGAGCATACTATTCCAATCCCCTCCTCAAGCAGCTTGGATTCCCCACAGTTACTCAAACTATGGCTTCTTGTCCTTTATTCTGTTTTCTTTCTCATGTCTTAGTGGTCTAGATATGTCAAAGGTTTTTGGCTTTGCTAGGGTCCAGGTTGGCTCTTTAAACCTTGATCAGAGGAGATAAAGTCTGAGGTGAACTTAACAACTGTTGTTGTTGCTAGGGGCTGGCCGAGTGGTTCCGACTCATAGTGAGGCTGTACGACAGAGTAGAACTGCCCTATAGAATTGTCTATAGGTTCCTGGGATGGCACTGTAGGATAAGCACTGGACCACAAGGTCGGTGGTTCATACCCACCAGCCACTCCTCAGAAACCCTATACAGGTCACTACGTCTTAGACCAACTTAATGACAACAACAACACAGGGTTTTCTAGGCTGTCTTTTTTTTTTAACTTTTTTTTTTTTTTAATGTTTTATTGTGAATTAATTATGTGATAGCTTACATGGAAGAACATTAGCTTTACATTCATCCTATTGTATATTGTTTCATTGCCATGGTTATAATCCCTTCCATGCATCCAAAGGGTAAACCCTACAAGCCTGCTCCCCTGGTCATCAGCACATAGCCCCTCTCCCTCTCTGGGTCTAAAGTCCCCAGCTTCTCCATCTCTCCATGTCATCGTCTCTCCCTCCATCTCTGGTATCATTGTTTCTCTGGGTAGGATCCCGCTCTCCACTCTTCTCCCTTGGTGGTCCCAGGGACCTCTGCTTCTGGACTGTAAAGCTAATCACTCCCCTCCTTTTGCTACAAAATGTCTACCTTTACATTTCCAACCCTCATAGTCAGTCTTGATAACAATCATTCACAATTGTATCACAAGAGACCTATCCCCATCTTCTTTCATCAGTCCCACCCATACAGATTGGATACTACTCAGTGGAGAGTCTACCTTCCTCCATGCCCTCTGGATCTAGGCTGACATTTTTATGAGAGCAGATTTGCTGAGTCTCTCTTAGAACACTGCTGGGTGGGTTTGAAACGCTGTGATCAGCAAAGTGCTTAATCAGCATGCCACCAAGGGCTCTTGGCACATAATACACACTTGATAAAGCCAAGTCATTACTATCATTACTATGTCTTATTATTTCTCATTTTTACTCTTATAGGGAGAAAAAAATGCAGCGGGAAGCAGTATTTTAACTGTCCCTCACATTTCAGAACTACATATTTCCATATGCTGTGACTGGAAACCAATCTGACAGAAATGGTTCTGGAATGCTAGCCCTTGGGTTTCCTGGCATTTATCTTAGGGCGGGGGGTTCCAAGCAGACCCCAGATTTCTGAGGGCCTTCAGATAAGCTGGCCTCTGTGCTGCCCACATCACCAGTGACCTCTGATTTCAGCCTGGTAGGAACCAACGACAACCCCAATCTACCATTTTCCTGCCCCCAAACTTGCAGACCGAAATGTTAACAAATCCTTCATGGGGTCCCAACTGCTTACCCCCACCACTGGGACAGAGGAGGCATGACTAAGATGGAGGAGGAGAAGGACAGGTCCAGAAAACCCACCCCTGTGAGGATGACTCTTGAAACCCTCTCTTTCCTCCTATCAACTGTGTGGTTACTAAATAACTTGTCCTTCTTGCCCATGGGTTTAGCAGTACATAAACTCATCACCACAACCCCATCCTAGCAAATCCCAAGTAGACCTCAACTCCCTTGCAGGGGTTCGCTTAAAGCAGCATTTCTCAACTCGGGATGGTTTTGCTCCTCCAAGGCATCAGGCAATGTCTGGACACATCTTTGGTTGTCACAATTGGTGCAGAGAAGCTGCTACTGGCCTCTAGTCGGTAGAGACCAGCAACGCTGCTAACGTCCTACCGTGCACAGAACAGAGCCCACCACAGAGAATGATCTGACTCAAGATGTCCACAGAGTCGAGGCTTAGACACCCTGACTTCGAGCAAGATCTTCTCAGACAGGGCCCCTTCAGGGTCATATTCCCGACTGAGACATGGAAGTGACCGGACCCATGAAAGCCCACACAAAGGAAGAGGACACTGCTGTGAGCTGTCAGGCCTCAGCGACTCCTGGGTACTCTCCACTGTGGTTCTGGTTGGAAGTCAGGACGCATGTCGGAGCGAGACACACTGCCAACGTGGGCCCACTGGGCAGGCCACTGCTACTCACCGTGATGCTTGTGTCCTTCTTGCCCTTGTGGGAGGAGGCCACCACCGCCAGGTACTGAATCACTTTCTTAGTGTTTTCTGTTTTCCCAGCTCCAGACTCGCCTCTGAAAGACACGGGAACAGTGACCCACGACCCATCGGAAATAAACCTCCATGGGTGTTCTGTGGGTACCCCTCCACAGAGTCATCATGACGACCACTTCCCAGATGGGGAAACTGAGGCTCACAGGGCAGGGGGGTAGGGAGTGAGTGCCCAACATCAGCACACTGCTGGGCCTCATGTCCAGGTCCAATACTCAATTTACTTCTCCCAAAGAGGACACAGGACAGGGTTCAGGTGAAAAGAAAAAGAAAACCTGAGATTTCTTACTAAACTTCCAAGATAAGCTTATTTGGAATTGTCTGATGTGAAGCCATTATTATTAGCATAGTTACATATGGAAAGACCAGGCCAAGGGCAGACTTCAAGGACACAGATACCTGGTAAGGAATGGGAAATCCGAAACACTTCATTGTACTCACGCGAGACTTACATGTAAACCAAGAGGCAGGCATTTGAACAGAACAAGAGGATACTGAATGGTTCATAAACAGGAAAGGTGTGCACCAGGGTTGTATCCTTTCACCAAATTTATTCCATCTGTTTGCTGAGCAAGTAATTTGAGAAGCTCGATTATATGAAGAAGAACATGGCATCAGGATTGGAGAAAGACACGTAACCACCTATATATGCAGATGACACAACCTTGCTTGCCGAAAGTGAAGAGAACTTTAAGAACTTATTGATGAAGATCAAACATTACAGTCTTCCCTCTGGATTACAACTCAACATAAAGAAAACAAAAACCTGACCAATAAACAGAGAAAAGATTAGAGTTGTCAACGATTTCATGTGACTGGATCCACAATCAATGCTCTGGGAAGCAACAGTTGAGAAATCAGATGATGTATTACATAGGGAAAATCATTAAAGTGTTTTAAAGCAAAGAGGTCAGTTTGAGGACTGAGGTGCACCTGACCCAAGCCATGATATTTTCAATCGCCTCATAAGCATGTGAAATTTGTTGTTGCTGTTAGGTGCCATCGAGTCGGTACCAACTCATAGTGACCCTAGGCACAGCAAAACAAAACACTGCCCGATCCTGGACCAACCTCACTACTGTTGCCATGCTTGAGTCCATCAATGTTGCCACTTGGCCAATCATCTCATTGCAGGTCTTCCTCTTTTTCTCTGACCCTCCACCTTACCAAATATGACTGGTCCCGCCTAACAATATGTCCGAAATATGAGAGATGAAGTTTGGCCATCTTGGCCTCCAAGGAGCACTCTGGCTGCACTTCTTCCAGCACAGATCTGTTGGTTCTTTTGGCAGCCCATGGCACCTTCAATACTCTCCTCCAACACCACAACTCAAAAGCATTAATTCTTCTACGGTCTTCCTTATTCACTGTCCAGTCTTCGCATGCACATGTGAAATTTGGACAATGAATAAAGAAGACAGGAGGGATCAATGCATTTGAATTATGATGTTGGTGATGAATACTGAAAGTACCATGCATTGCTAGAGGTATGAGCAAATCTGTCTTGGAAGAAATACGGCCAGATGTTCCTTAGAAGTGAGGATGGTGAGCCCAATCATACATTTTGGTCATGTCATCAGGAGGGATCAGTCCATGAAGAAGGACTTCATGCTTAAAGTAGGGTCAGTGGCAAAAGAGGAAGACCCTCATAGAGATGGTAGGCACAGTGGCTGTAACCATAGGATCAAACGTAGGAACAACTGTGAGCATGACACAGGACTGGCTAGCATACACGGGGTCCTTATTAAACAAACCTACTCTATGGCACCTAACACCACCAAAAGGGCCTACAGTAAACTGTCAGAAGCTCCTTGATGGGAAAATACCCATGGGCCAATGGGAAATCTCAATCTGAGTATCAGGTGATTAGCAAATGATCTTATCAATTATCAAAGGACAAACCCTGGTTGGACTAATTCATGCTAAGGTGTAAATGACTGATAGATTTAGATCACAGGAACACCATCATATCAAAGCAGGACTCCCCTAATGTTGTTAAGTTCCAGTAAGTCAGTTCCGACTCATGACATCCATGTATTTCCAAGGAGCTACTGGTGGGCTTGGACCACTAACCTTGCAGTTAGCAGTCCAGTGTTTATCTTACAGCATCACATTAGGACTAGAATATGAGGAGTTAATTTTTTTTGCCAAGATGACCAGCTGCCTCTTTAACCTTCAGCAAGCATTATGAGGAGATTGCTTTATCCAAGGGTTCTAGATGCTGTCTCCGGCTCCCTGCCACTCTGAGTGACAGGGAAGAGGAGGGCCTCTACATTATGTGTTCCAACCTTCTCATCCTCTTCTCTTCCTCCCTTCCCTTCCCACTGCCTAAACTCACTGCCCTTGAGTCGATTCTGACTCACAGTGACCCTGTAGGACAGAGAAGATTGCTCCACAGGGTTCCCAACTGGCTCTGTAGGACAAGCACTGGACTGTGAGTGAACAAGGTCTGTGATTCGAGCTCATCAACCGCTCCACAGGAGAAAGATGAGGCTTTCTGCTCCCACCAAGATTTACAGCTTTAGAAACCCAACACAGGGCTGTAATAAGTCAAAACCAATTGACAGCCCTTAACAAAAACAATCTTTACTGGAATGTCATTGCTGTTGAGCGGCATTGAATCAGTTCTAAACTCATAACAACCCTATATAGGGTTTCTGAGGAGCAGCTAGTGGGTTTGAACTGCCGACTTTGTGGTCTGCAGTCCAGTGCTGATCCTACATCTCCACACCAGGAGTCCAAACAGAATTGCTTCCTCTGAGGAAAAAGAGAGCCTCATTTTTCTCCCACAGAGTGGCTGGTGAGTTTGAACTACTGACCTTGCAGTTAGCAGACCATCACTTAACTCAATGTGCCACCAGGGATCCTTTCCCTTGTTGCTATAGGCTACCATTTTTATTTTCCAAGCTTACTTAAACATTCTAAGCTGTCTTTTTTTTTTTTTAAGGTCTGGAAAAGACTTTGTGCACCCGAGGTCAGCTCCAGGTTCTCATAGCTGGACCAGAGCCGGCGCTGCTCTAGTCTCTGTGTCTCTTCCTAATTAGGAAATACAGAAATGAATTTTCTCTGCCAAGGACCCATTAATAACTTTGCTTGTGGTTAAAAAAAAAAAAGTAGAAAAAAATCCTACATGTCCCAAGTTGCTAGGCCTGACCAAATCTTAAACCAGATACACAAACACAAAATACCCCAAAAACTAAAACACCAAGCTGAGTGTCATTGAGTCTCTTCTGACTCATAGTGACCCTTTTTATTGTGAGGTGAGTGAAGGTTTACAGAGCAGACCATCAGTTTTACAGTTAGCACATCATAGACTCCATTTCACTATTCTGATTGTGATCCCTCCATGCACCATCGCTGTTTGCCTCTATCTACTTCAAACCTTGCATTCCTCCCCATGTCTTCCGCTACCTTCATCTTTCTTCTGCCAACTTCCTTCTGGTTGTATATTGCCTTCCCCATCACCTCAGTTAACATGTGTCTACCCTCTAGTATGTGAATGTTGTTATTGTTGTTAAGTGCCATTGAGTTGGTTCCAACTCACAGTAACCCCTGTGTAGGGTTTCCAAGGAGTAAATGCTGAGTTTGAACTGCCAATCTTGTGATTCAAACTGACCATGTGGTCCAGTGCATTATCACACAGGGCCACACTGGGAATCATTCTGTGAATATGAGACTGCAAATCTTTTTAGAAGCAGAGTGCCATGTTTTTCTTCTGCTTAAGTGGTTGGTGGGTTTGAACTGTCAACCGTGCGATCAGCACATACCCAGTACTTAACCCATTGTACTACCAAAGTGCAGGCCCAAGTCCTACAGGTCCCTAAATCCAGAAAGCAAATGTCTGGTTGCCAGGATTCAGGAACTGTCTCAGTCTGACATTAACACTGCCCCTTCCAGAGGGTCTCTCACAGCTGCCTTATTTCTCAGTTTGTGAAATAATAATTGTAGAGGTGGTCTCTCTTGTCCCAGCAGCATGCGCGGGACCACAGCAAGAAGCCAGGCCATGTTCTGATGTAAGATGATGACCCACGACTACCACAACCCTGTTCAACTGAAAACATGAAACAGAGATTAGAAGTTTTACTGCTTGGCTTAAAGACCAGAAAATCAGACACTACAGGACTGGAGACAGGTAATTTAACAAACATTTGCAGCAGTGTTAGGCTCAAGTTCTCTGAAAAGTATCTCAGCGATGCTAAGTGTCCTTTCAAGATTGAAGATCAACCAGAAACAATCGACTGGCTTCTTGACTTAGCTGTTAGACTGGAATATGGAGATAATGCTGAAAAATACAAGGACTCCGGTACCCGATAATGAAAAAAAAAAAAAAATGCTGATAATGCAACAAAAAATGCAGTCATTGATCAATTTGAACCTAAATAATCGTGGGATAAAGGCTTTGGCAAACCTACTTCAGATTTGGCAGCACGATGATCACCTGGTAATGCTGAAGGCAATTCACATTTTGGTTCAGGAACACGTGACACAGGATGTAGTTGCTAAAGCACATCAAAACGAACAGGGCTTGCCTGTTGCTTTGGACAAGCATAGTCTTGGTTTTGACGTAGGAGCTGCAGTTCTTAATGAAGCTGCACACATTCCGCCACTGCTGCTTATGGAAGAACTTAGAACGCTGCAGACAAAAATGAATGAAGCCATACAAACTGCTCAGTGAATTACTGTAGGCCCAAAGACAGACCACAGACTGGGAAAAGTCAGGAGATGAACACTGTGGGATTTCAGCTACTTCTCACATAGACTTAGTATAGCAGGGGACCATGTATATTTCTGGCATGTCTTTGGAAATCCCAGGAAACGGACTGTTTTAGAGTTACCCTCACTACATTTTTTTTTATTTAACGAAGTCTGGGAAAGTCGGGTGTGTGTGTGGGAACCATCCAGGTTGTTGTTGTTGTCAAGTGCCGTTGAGTCGGTTCTAACTCACAGCAACCCTGTATAGGGTTTCCAAGGAGCACTTGGTGAGTTTGAATCATCAGTCTGTGTTTCAGCACATTATCCTGCA